CTGACACATGGTTACTTACTTCTGGGCCAGTTTGCTCTATGTGCCCGACATAATTAGGTTCAATGAAGGGCGCAATTCTTTGGCAGGAATGCCACCCAATTTAAGAATTGTGTTTGAGTAAGGCAGAGAGTAGCTGGGTCCCCATTTCGATACTTTGAGGAAACAGGTTTTTTTTATTGTATTTAAAAATGAGAGTTTTGTGTTCCTAGCGTGTGTTGAAAGCGAATATATTTATTAACGTGGGTGTAAAGTATGAGAGGGCCGATGACGGAATGTGGCGTATCCCATCGACGCTTAATTAGGTATAGGATGATGGAGGAATATCGATACTCCACCACCGTAACTGGTATGGTATGTAAAGAAGTAAGTATCTTTTTAAGGGTGAGGAGAGTTTGAATAGATTTAGGAACTGATATTATTGGGGGCTGAAATGACCTGCGAGAAGTGATAGAATCAACTCTTTAGACACGTATATGTATGTACATTCGTGACTCGAGTGTAGGTTAGAGCTTATGTAAATAAGTAACCGGGGGGGGGGGAACGCGGTAGCCGAGTGGTTAAGGCGTCAGACTCTCGGTTAATAGATCCCGCGGTCGTGGGTTCGATCCCCACTGTCGCCTCTGGACTTTTTCTGACGCCTAAGGGGACCGGTGGCCGCAATTGAAATAAATTGACACGCTACTCATCAATGGAAGGGACGGGATCGGATCTCAGCGACCCTGAATTTGGTCCCATCCCTCTTCAAAAATGAGTTTCTTCGATGGAAGAACACCGGTACAACGGGGGCTCAAGTTCACATTTGTGTTGCGAGCCCTCCCCCAAAATATGGAGCCAGGGATAAAGTACAATAAGCTGTACAGCTCATCTGCAGTGTTCAGGAGGGAACTCCTCCAGTCCCTGGTATCCATTGTAAAATATATATATATATATAAAACAATCAATTTCGCGCGGGTAGTAAGTGATTTCGGCCGTTCTAGCCAAAATATGTTAATACAAGCTATTAACAATCAAATGATAATCTTGTAAAGTACAGAAAAGAAGTTTCTGTCGTACAGGAAGTCTTAACATCCAATTACCGTTATTTATTGGGGGGGGGGGGTCAAGCAAGCTTACAATACTTTTGTCATATTATTCTCAATTAAAAAGCTTTCATTTTCAGTCCTCCATTCAGTCTTTTCATAAGCTTTGTACACCAGTCTTCGATAATCTTAAGATTCTTGGATGTTGCGGAAGCTTGAATAGGATTCGAGTTAAAGGACAAAATTGCTGCATCGTCCGCGTAGGTAATGGTATTAAGGGTACAGATCACTAGTATAAATGATTTGAAGGATAGGAACATGAATGCTCACATGAGTGACTTCAGAAAACTCGTTGGCAAAAGTATACCTAGTTACACTAAGTTATAAAATAGTGGAACATCCACTAATGTATTTGTCACATGTTTGTGAGGAAACCTTCATATTTTGTATACAAGGAGTACTTTTTAGTTGGCCCAGCTGAATTTCTCTTAAACCAATGACGCTATCAAGAAAAAAAGTGTTTAATATATTTTAATCTAGTTTCACATTTTACCTTCTTTTTGAGAAAAATTATACAGGGTACCTCAGGCCCAGTTCTTCAAAATTTCAAATATGACCCTACACAACCTGACAGATCATTTTAATGGATTTTTTGGGCTGAAAACAACGGTGCAAATGCAAATTGGTCAAAAAACGATAAAGTTATGGCAAAAAGTTTGAATCAAAAAACACTTATTTGGTTTGTTATTTATAAATGTTCGAACTGCGTGCCTTGCGTAAAACTGCAAAGATTTGTTCTTTTTAACCACTCTTCACTGGTGTCAGAGCGACAGAATCAGAGGAGATTGATTGATAAGTAGTTTCTATCCTTTGTCACAGTTCTTCAGCCGAGGTTGCTGGGTTATGATTGGTGTAGACACTGTTTTTTAAATAGCCCCTCAGAAAATAGGTGGAGTTAAATCGTGTGACAGGAGGCCAACAGATCGGGCCATGATGTCCTATCCACCTATCCCGGAAGTGACGATTCAAATAACGTCTCACCTCAAAGAATTGTGTGCAGGGCATCTATAAAGCTGGAGAATCATTCCTTCGATTTGTTGAAGAGGAACATCATCTAATGTGTTGAAAAAACCTCATTTAAAAAATGAGGAATTGAGCTCCATGTGAATTATTTTCGTAAAAATAAGGGCCAATTAATTTATTTTCGATAAGTCATTCATTCTTCGTGATGGAATAATGTAAATAAATGGAATAATCTCCTTAAAAAATGAGGAATTGCGTTCTATATGAATTATTTTCGTAAAATTAAGAGCCAATTAATTTATTTCCGAGAAGTCATTCATTCTTTGTAATTGTTGCAGAGGACAATCATTCCGTGCATTTGTTGAAGAGGAACTTCATCTAATATGTTGAAAAAACCTCCTTTAAAAAAATGAGGAATTGAGCACCATGTGAATTATTTTCGTAAAATTAAGGCCAATTAATTTATTTCCGAGAAGTCATTCATTCTTTGTAATTGTCTGATGTCTATGATGTCATCGGATAGTTTTAGAAAACCTCACTCAAAAAATTGAGGAACTGAACACCATTTAAATCATTTTCATATAAATGGGCCAATTAATTTGTTTGCGAGATTTCCACACCAAATTTTGTTACTGTTAACCATTTGATGATGGCAAACGTCCGACATTCTCGCATTGCCTCTGCCCACGTTCCAAAATTCCAACGGTTTAGTATACTGTTAGAGGTGAACTAGGATTGTTCAGACCACAGGATATATGGAACGTTTTCTTCAGCCTCCTAAATCGACATTTGTGCAAGGTCCGAACGTTAGGCGCTGTCATAATCAGAGTCCCAAAGTCCTTGGACAACATGAGAGCGGTACGGCTTAAAATTGTAAGCCCGGAGTACATCTCTAATTTAATTTTTTGAAAAACCTAAAATCCTACCAACATTTCGAGTGAGAAATTTGGATTTTCGCGAACAAACAGTAAAAAAATATTCAACTCCTCGTCGAAATTACTCAAAAATTTTCTTCCTTTTGCCACAACTTTGTCATTTTTCATCAATCAAAATCCCATTGCACCATTGTTTTCAGCCTACAAAATCCATTAAAAAGATTTGCTAGGATGTATATCGCCATATTTGAAAATCTGAAGTTGAACTGATCCTGAGGTACCATGTAAACATTTTTCCCAAAAAAGGTACATATTTGATTCTAGATTAAAAATTATTATTCAGAAATCGTGAGATGCGGTCTGGTGTGATGTAAGTTTCAGAAAAACATTTTCTTTATCGTGCCAATTTCGATCTTTATTGAGATCATCTTCAGGGCCTCGGATTTACAAACATTGTTTAAATTTAATGAAAAACAGGTAGGATGTGGAAAAAATTGAATTTATGCAATGCAAAAAAATAATTTTTTTTTATTGAATATAAAAAAATATTTTTTGCATTGTATAAATTCACTTTGTGCATTTAACCAAAAACAAGTAGGATGTGGAAAAAAGTGAATTTAACAAAAAAACAAGTAGGATGTGGAAAAAAGTGAATTTATACAATGCAAAAAAATATATTTTTTTTTATTGAATATAAAAAAATATATTTTTTGCGTTGTATAAATTCACTTTGTACATTTAACCAAAAACAAGTAGGATGTGGAAAAAAGTGAATTTATACAATGCAAAAAAATATATATTTTTTTATTGAATATAAAAAAATTTATTTTTTGCGTTGTATAAATTCACTTTGTGCATTTAACCAAAAACAAGTAGGATGTGGAAAAAAGTGAATTTAACAAAAAACAGGTAGGATGTGAAAAAAGTGAATTTAACCAAAACAAGTAGGATGTGGAAGAAAGTGAATTTAACAAAAAACAAGTAGGATGTGGAAAAAAGTGAATTTATACAATGCAAAAATATATATTTTTTTTTATTGAATATAAAAAAATATATTTTTTACGTTTATAAATTCACTTTGTGCATTTAACCAAAAACAAGTAGGATGTGGAAAAAGTGAATTTAACCAAAAACAAGTAGCATGTGGAAAAAAGTGAATTTAACAAAAAACAAGTAGGATGTGGAAAAAAGTGAATTTATACAATGCAAAAAAATATATATTTTTTTATTGAATATAAAAAAATTTATTTTTTGCGTTGTATAAATTCACTTTGTGCATTTAACCAAAAACAAGTAGGATGTGGAAAAAAGTGAATTTATACAATACAAAAAATATATATTTTTTTTATTGAATATAAAAATATTTTTTTTTGCATTGTATAAATTCACCTTTTTCCACATCCACATGTTTTTTGTTAAATTTAGACAATGTTTGTAAATCCCAGGCCCTGATGATCTCAATAAACATCGGAACGTTGGCACGATAAAGAAAATGTTTTTCTGAAACCTACATCACACCGGACCGCATCTCACCATTTCTGAATAATCATCGACTAACGGTCACTAATCACCACATATTAAAAATTATAAACACGTATTTTTTTGATAGCGTCATTGGTTCAACAGAAATTCAGCCGAGCATCTGAAAAGGACACCCTGTGTAGTCCACAACTATTTGTATAGTACATCGAACATCAATTAACTATTTAATTGTTCTGTAATATATTTATTACGTGGCACAAATTATAGCAGAATTTGACCAAAAATTGGTTCATTAGAGAAAAAACTCTTCGTTTCGGAAGAAGTCATTTTTTTGGCACATTTTCGATAAATTTACCGACATATATATTGGTAATATTACTCGAAGCAATATTCGTTTCTGCTAGATTGATTTATTTGCTAAAATTCGTGGATTCCACTTGCAATGGTTTGTTTGGTCAAGAAGCTATAATGGTTTTAGTGCACCGTTTTCTCTTAAATTTAAAAAGTGCGGGCTAAAATGATTCTACACGGTTTGATATAATGATGAGTACTACTGGTATGATTATAGAAGGGCGTCCTTTACCGTCCGCGGGGTTGGAAGAATTAGATTGGCATTGGGGTAGTGTGTTGGTGGGTGTGAGAAGCTGTTGAAGCTGGAAGGGGAAATCTAGGTCTTTGGAGCTGGCCGGAGGTTCAGTCAGCCAGTACAACTCTGAGAAAGGAGTTGAGCACTCGGTCTGTGATCTCCCTCTCTTTTTGGTCCTTCCTCTTCTCTTTGTCAGCCGTCGACCGCCTCCTGAGCCACCCTCTTCCTCCGTGCTCGCCGGGGATGGGGTAGTGTGTCCTGAGTGAATAACAGTTTCAGTTCAGTGTACGACAAAAAAAAGTAACGAAACTAACGTAATAAGTGTTTGGTACGGACTTCAGGAGTCGGGAGGAAACGAGATCCGGATACAAGATAAAACTTCCGGCGGACCCTGGGAACAGGTACAATTCTGTTATGGTTTAGTGCGTAATTAAGGTTTTTTTAAACCGATTCGTCAAGTCACATGTACAGTATTAAAAATCTGTGTTCAATTAAAATCCGTACCGGCGAACTTTTTTCCGTACGAACGTTAGATCCATAAGCGGACCATTAGCTATACAGATTTAACCAAAACTAAAAAATCAAATGTCAGACCATTGCGTATTTATTAATTATTGAACAATAAAGTCTTTCCTGACTTTTAAGATCAACGGTAACTTGGTAACATTACGCAGAAAAAATAAAAACGGTAAACTTATAACTTGAACAATATAACAAGATAAATTTTTTTGATTATTTACTGATAAATCTTCGTACAGTTTTTGATTCAGCCATCAGTGTTGTTAAACAATAAAACTGCTTCAAGTGCATTAAATTGAAAATAAAATTACCTTTTTTCTCATAAGGGTATAAATATAGAAATAACGGCTTTAAACCACGTCTATCCACTTCGGAGCTTTTTTTTTCATCGACCGCCGTGCGTTCATCTAGCTGCTTACGCGATTAACATCTCCATTGTGGTTGACTACGATCTCCCCGGATTATCTATTATTATTACAATTAACCACTATCTTCTTATAAGAAACTTCGGAAATTGAGATAATCTTTAAACACGAGTCGGCCAAAGGGTAACGTACTGTGTTGACGCAACGCGGATGAAATTATTAATTTTAATGCAATAACATTTTTTTTTTAATTGGAAGGAGTTTTTAATTAATTTGGGTAAATAAAAACCGTGGTATATGATACGACATTATAATTTTCTCTTATACGATCATTTTTTTTCTATTTTTTCCTTTTCCTTCTTGGTATATCCGAAAAACTTTTTCATTTTAACACTTTTGGGATTGTTTAAAAACTACAGCATAAAAAAATCTATATATAATATCTACATATAAACAAAAATGTTATAATAAAAAATACAACCATAATAAAAACCGTGGTATATGATTCAACATTATAATTTTCTCTTATAGGATCATTTTTTGTTGTATTTTTTCCATTTCCTTCTTGGTATATCCGAAAAACTTTTTCGTTTTGAGACTTTTTGGGCTTGTTTTGAAAACTACAGCATAAAAAAATCTATATATAATATCTACATTTAAACAAAAATGTTATAATAAAAAATACAACCATAATAAAAACCGCGGTATATGGTACAACATAATTTTATCTTATAAGATCATTTTTTTTGTATTTTTTCCATTTCCTTCTTGGTATATCCGAAAAACTTTTTCGTTTTGACACTTTTTGGGCTTGTTTTGAAAACTACAGCATAAAAAATCTATATATAATATCTACATATAAACAGAAATGTTATAATAAAAAATACAACCATAATAAAAACCGCTGTATATGGTACAACATAATTTTCTCTTATAGGATCATTTTTTTGTATTTTTTCCTATTCCTTCTTGGTATATCCGAAAAACTTTTTCCTTTTGACACTTTTTGGGCTTGTTTTGAAAACTACAGCATAAAAAAATCTATATATAATATCTACATATAAACAAAAATGTTATAATAAAAAATACAACCATAATAAAAACCGCGGTATATGGTACAACATAATTTTCTCTTATAGGATCATTTTTTTGTATTTTTTCCTCTTCCTTCTTGGTATATCCAAAAAACTTTTTCGTTTTAACACTTTTTGGGCTTGTTTTGAAAACTACAGCATAAAAAATCTATATATAATATCTACATATAAACAAAACTGTTATAATAAAAAATACCACCATGTAAAAACAAAGACTTTTTGGTTCCAATGGTGTTCAATTCTTTTTTTGTGGTTGTCAAAAATTCAAAGAGAAAATTGTTGTCTAATTTAAAATTTACGTAAAGAAAAATGCAAATACAACTTTACATTACGCAATTTTTTTTATATAAACAAAAATCCTATTTAACTAATCCACCTTGAACTGCACACGTTAATCTATATTTTGTGGAAAGAACTAAAGCAAAAAGAAAAAACTCTGATTTTTGTGCTAGTTGAAAATTCTTCAAAAAACGTTAATACATATGAAATATTCCCATTTTAATTTTCCTTTTAATACAATCAAAATTTACCCTTGTCAACCGGAAGATATATTAAACATATATCTGATTTAAACTGTTTCTGAAGTTTTATAAAAACTTTTTGAAGAGTAACAACTCAAGATATTTCTTGTCCATAGCTCATTGTTTGATATTAAACTTAATCACGATTTAAGAAGATTTACGGTTTTTAAAACTATAGAAAAAATGTTTGTCATTAGAGTAAACGAATTTAGACTATAATTAAAGAAGTAACGACTGTTTTTCTGGACCAAATAATACATTTTAAAATTTTATTATACAACTATAAAATTATGTTAAATATTAAACAATAACTCGTTCTGAACACAGTAAAACTGATCACGTGACATTCCGAGTTCTAAAAGCTCTTTAAACAATTTTTCCCAGCGAAGTGGCTGTTCTAGAGTGTCTTGCTTTCATGAACGTCCCAGTATAATATGCTTATAGTCTTATTTTTTTTTTTTTTTTTTTTTTAATGTAAATTCTATTCCAAATTTTTCCCAAACATTATCGTCGCCCAACTAAAAATTGCATCGGTATGCAAAGTTTTTATGGTATGAATTGGGCGGAATCGGAAAAGTCGGAGTCGATCATAAAATTCATCTCACCTGAAAAGTATTTTTTCAGGTTGGTCGGTATTCAACCAAATTTCTTAATCACATGGAAACAATTTTTTTTTCATTTAGTGGGACAAGAATAATCAAACAGTCGTATGGAGCAATATTTTTCAAAAACTAAGCAGGAGGGGAGAAATACATTCTTTTTGTATAAAATAAAACTCCTATTTACAAATTTCTAAAAAAAAAAAATTTAAAAACAGGCAACTTTTTGTCATCTCTTTGAACAACCATAACATTTGCTGAACTACTTTTTTGAAACCTTAGATTTCAATAAATTTGAAAATACTTTTCGATACATGAAAATAGAATCCTGGCTGATAAACATTTATTTTTATTTTCTTTATTTTTAGAAATTCTAAATTGATGTCGAGAGAAGTGTTTGTAACTCCTTTAACCTGATGATGAGCGTTTAATGTTCGAAATCTGATAGTTTTAAACAACAAAATCATTTACAAAAAGAGACCTTTTAATTTTGTATTTGATTTATTTTTTCAATCTCCACAGTTTAATTATTTTAAATTGTTAATCCTTCGACAAGCATACTAAGCTTAACGGATATTTTAAACGTTAAAAAATTAAAATACTTTTTAAGCTTTTACACAAAGGCATAGAAGAAAATCATAGTATCAATATTGGCAATAATATCAAGCACTTGATACTTGATGAAAATTGCCTAGAATAACGCATGTATTTTGCTTTGCAACAATAGAATCTTAGAATGATATTCTTCCTTAATTTCTCGTAAATTCGTTACGGCTTTGCTAAGCAAATTTCAACTTTAAAACAATGTTTTGTCAGCACAGTGTCAACTAGGCTGATAATCTTTGTAGAAAATAAAAAAATGCTATTATATTTTTCAATTTCGGTCAATGAAAAAGGCCATTCACCTATTTGAATATTAAACCCTGCTAAAATGTCTCCAACATTACTTATATATCACAGACCGGAAGTTTGGCTTGATTGAATTGATGCTTATTCCACCTGTTCCAACTAGCAATGAAAAATTGTTGTTGTATAAAATGTCGATGTCGATAAGAAGTGTACAAAATTAATATTTGCTCGGGGTTTTTTAAACAAATTTGCAAAGTAATACTTATTAAATTTACCCTACACCATTTTTCCAAACGCGCATATTATTTATCGATAATGTATTACGTGTAGTATTTAGTGACCCTTAATTTATGATTATTTAGATATCGTGAGTGGCGATCTGGTGTGATGTAGGTTTGGAAAATAGCAGTTTTGGGTTCGAATCCTAGCACAGCCCTTGGAATTTTAATTTGCAATAATACGAAAAATGTATTTCAACTGGTTTGACCCTTGTCCGCGACAGCAGGAATTACCCACTTGCTTTATGAATCTATCATTACATATATATCAAATGATCAATTTTTTTTTATCCCCGAAGGAAATTTTATTTAATGATAAAAATTATGTTCTACAAGAATATATTACTCATAAATTGTTACAAAACGTTTTATATGATGAGAGTGATTTTTATTTTATTAAATTTGTAGGAAATATTTTATGGTTTTGGTATTATAATTAACGAAGCTTTTTGACTGGAATTTAAATGATTGCAACACTGGTTTTAGGGTTAGATGGTTAGATTTTTACTGACAGTTATCAGAATTTCAGTTTCAAAGAACTGAATGAATTATTAATTAATTTATTGGAGTTATTTGAAAAATGTTACTATAGTAATAAAAAATCGTCAATATTAAATTTGTTTACGTTATTTATCTTTTTTTTATATTTTGTAATATAAATATATATCTTTGAAATATGTATATCTAATTTTATCTTGAAACAGATCGTATTGATCCGAAAGACTGGTAAAAAGTGAAATTGAAGGACAATAGCAGGTGAAATTTCTTTCCAATATGAAAAAAGGCAGGCGAAAATTAACCAAATTTATTTCTAAATTCTTGGAAAAATTACACATGGATAGAATTTCGCATACTTTTATATATATTGTTTAAAAAATGATTATTTAGTCGAAACTAAACATTTTAAGCGTTCACGTATAAAAAATCTCTCCAGTCTACATAGTTTAACATTTTATAGATTTTATTTTTTATTCTACTATTTAAAAAAGTATATCTGTATTATGAATATAAACAGTAAAGAGTCAGAGAGATCCTGTATAGCTGTTTTTAGAAGTATGTCAATTGAAACAATTTTTAAGCATGCCAAATAAGTTTAGTCTGGTTTGTTTTTATTAACCCAATATGTGTTTTGGTCCCTTTGATTTCACAACGATGAAGAATAAATATAAATTATTT